CCCAGGCCGGCTGTACTGATCTAATGGTGAGCACGCTTAGGACACCCAGGCCGGCTGTACTGGTCTAATGGTGAGCACTCATTAGGAGTAGTGGTCTGCCTGTCAGCCTGGCTGTTAAATTAAGTCAACCTGCAGCTCTTAACCCCTTGGCAAACCTATATGCCCAAAAATATTTACATTATGATTCATAACATTAGCAAAATTACAGTTATGAAGTAGCAATGAAAATAATTTTATGGTTGGGGTCACCACAACATGAGCTGTAGTAAAGGGTCGCAGTATTGGAAAAGTTGAGAACCTCTGAACTAAGTACTGAGCCGTTAGTAGTTGAGATCCATGCCACTTAGTCTTACGCTGGCAGGGGATCCTGACTGTTGTTGTGTTGTGATGATAGACAGCAGCATACTAGTTGACACTGCATTAGTAATTGCTGTGGGGCATCTTGAATTGTCAGTTTTTAAGATATTACATCACAAGATGCTTGTGGAAAAATGGAAAACACAGCAGGCACCTGTTAGCGGTCTTGGGCCTCTAATATGTAATTATGAGAATTTGAGTAAAGCTCAGATAGAGACTTCATTCATGAAATGGTTAGCAGGTACTAAGAATGCTTGAAAATTTTTGGATCCTGCATTATTAGGAAGAGACTGTTTACATTTTATTGTAAAAATTAATATAAGGATACCATAAGGTAAAGAGTACAATGAAAATGTAATAAACTGACTGCATTTTAAATCCTTTCTTTTCATTGAATTTTGTGATGACTATTATGAATGGTGAAAAATAGTAACATTTATGTATTGGCAGTGGGCACAGTCTTAGTGGTGCATTTTGGGAAAAGCAGCACTACTGACCATTGGACTAACATCTAAAGAACAGTTTGGTGTGATTTAATGATAGCTTTTGGGCTATGCCTTAAGAATGGAAGGTTTCATTTCACAGCCATGTTCCATGAAGCATCTGACCTCATGAAAGCTGCATTGTTGGGTCCTGTTAAGAAAACAATGTTCCCTTTAGCATCAGGTGTCTCGTTAATTCATATTTTCTCCCCCTCACAGGGTACTTCCTGGTTAACGTACAAGGAAACGATCCTCTTTGTGTCTGTGCTCACAGTGAATGACTTTTGTGTTCCCCAGAGCTTTGAGAATTCTGACTGCTAACTGCTTGTCACCACATGAATTCTTCTGAACTGTCTCCATACATTTCCTTCTCTGAAGTTAGCGTTTTCCGTGTGCCGTTTATATTAGCAGAGCTAAAAAGGTGGATAAGTAGTTTCTTCAAAATTTGAAGCTCTGACTCCCATCAAAGAAGATCCTAAAACATAAAAGTGGGAGAGGCATCAGTGAGGCCCGACAGCTAGAGAGCTGGTAACCGTGTCACAGCGTTTGAGGGCCTGAGTGGGGCTGCTGGGTACTGCTTACATAAGCCTCAGCCGCACCCACAGCGTTTCCCCCTCTCTTTGACCAATTAATTCATCCTTCCCGAAAGGCTCCTAAGGAAATAACCTGACATGGTAGTGATAATTTTATGTCATCACCAGGTGGTTGGAAGCCTTGGAAAATTAGAAACAGCCTGACTCTCTTTCTGGTCTTTTTTCCAAGGGATCAATTATGAGCAATTATGTTGTGAGTGTAATAAGAAAAACCTCTGAGTATATTTTCCTAGATGCTTTTCAGTATTGTCATTAAGCATTAGCTACAATGGGAATGTCTTTCTGGCTCCCAAACGCCACAGGAAGAAGAATGCTCTCCTGGGGTTTTGTTCTTGGGTCTCATATTTGGGACTCCAGTTCTCCCCTTGTGTCCATCCTCCAACCCCTTGGCCATGCACTGAGGATATGGTTGGAGTGAAACCCAACATTCAGGAGACAGAGGGAGGTGGATCTCTGTGAGTTCAAGGCCAGCCAGGTCTTCATAACAAGTTCCAGAATAGCCAGGACTACATAAAGAGACCCTGTCTTAAAAAAACAAAGCAACTATAACCAATAAAAGGTAAAAGAAGCCAGGCGGTGGTGGCGCACGCCTTTAATCCCAGCACTCGGGAGGCAGAGGCAGGCGAATCTCTGTGAGTTCGAGGCCAGCCTGGTCTACAAGAGCTAGTTCAGGACAGGAACCAAAAGCTATGGAGAAACCCTGTCTTGAAAATCCAAAAAAAAAGGAAAGAAAGAAAGAAAGAAAGAGAAAAGGTAAAAGAAATGAAAAAAGATTTTGGGTTCTATTAAAAGTTCCCAATGATTTCATAAGCCAAAAAAGTGTTTTTTTGTTATTAATAGTTCCTTTTGGATCAACTTGTTTTTGGATAACTGTCCTGTGTTTTTCAAATTTGACCTCATCTTACTTTTATCTTGTTGGTTATCATTCCTTCATTCAACTTTTCTTAAGTTGTTTAAATGTCCTTTTCAACTAAGATTTAATTTTCCAACCTAAATATCTTGGAGGTCTGCCTTTTCTTATTTTTGCCTAATAGTGGCTTTTTCCTTCAGCAGGCATGGAAGCAGCCACTAGAAGTCAGTTGCTGACTCTATGCTTATATGAAGGGCTTCTCATAATGCGTATTGGAAATGTCTTTGAAGCCCTTTTCCTGAATGGATGGTGCCATGGCTTGTGCTTTATGGCCTTCTAATGTAGGATGGTAATCTCATTTAGCATCTTCCAAAGTAAAAACAGTGCATTAGGACAGCACAGCATGCCCTGCCGATCAATACAGATGCAGATCTGCGCCGTTCAGATGAATGCAAGAGAAATGGACCCGAGTCTATGGAGAATCTATGGGCCAATTATGCTGATTTCACTATTCTTTCCCCCCTCTGCACCTAGTCATCAATACAGGCTAAAATGTATACAGAAAGGATTTCAGGTGATGGTCACACAGAGAACAGACTACCAGACAGGAAATCAAGGGTTTGGGAGCAAGGACTAGTATTGATTTGTGGTGATAAAAGTATATTTTGATACACTTCAAACCATAAATAACTCATGAACTTGAACCTGCATGACTGAGGGCTCAGCTCAGGATTAGTGCTTGTGTGTGACTTGCACTGTTGCTTTCTAAAGAGGGGGTGGCATTAATGAAAATATATATACATAGGTGTGTGTGTGTGCAGTGTGTATGTATACAGTGTGCATGTGTGTTTGTGCGCTACCTGTGCATCACTAGTGAAGAGTCATGGGTCTGCTTGGGCCTATTTTTATTCCCCACCCCCTTTCCTCTGCCCTTGGTCTGATTTCAGCACTAGGACAGAAGCACAATAGCTTGGCTCTCCTGTGTGAATCGTTAGCATTGCCAGCCATTTATTTGCCGCATTCAGCTAACCTGAGGCTTAATCTTTCTTACTTTATTCAACATTTATCCAGACACAAGTCTTACTGTCACCAGTTGGTCAGTAGTTTTCGGAGGCTGTGTTTCTGGAAGCATAGCCGACTCCTTTTTGATCCTGATGTTCATTTGTCGGGGATTAGGGAAGCTCAGGTCCAGAAAAATCCACAGACATCCAGAGCATCAAAGGCTTAAAAAGAATTGAAACCCCTGGAGTTGGACTTAAGTTCTGTTCTCAGGTATTAGACAAAGTAGTAAAGTAATGAATGAAAAAGTGAAAACAGTGTTGGGTAAAATCTGTGGATCATTTGTTCCCCTGTATATCTACTTCCTTTCTGGGGTAGTGGGAAGAAGATTGCCTAAGGGACAGTCACATGGTTTGCTTTTCCACTCCAGCAAAACATACATTAACTTATCATGTTGGGTAAAAGTAATGAGGAAACAAACCGTCACCCAAGGGCTTACTTATTGATGGGAACTATCCTCGTGTTCTCTGGGGCTTTTGTGTTTAGAACCCATTAAACTTAAAGTAATGCTACTTCGGGGTTATATGGAAATAACAAATTTAAATTTCAGAGACAGAACTGATAGGACTGGAAGCTTTTTTTTTTATTAAACTAACTAATTTTTTAAAAAAAATACAAATTCCTAGATTAATGATTGTTTTGCGTTGTTTTGTGTGGTTAGTCTTTATAACTCAAGTTCTCATGTCATACAAACAAGAATATTTTCTGTTTATATAATTCATTTGGCTTATTATTTTCAAGTGTGTATTAAAAGCTTTGTGGAAACATTTATGTTTGGCATGGCATATTCACTGAGAGCAATCCAACTAAAATCTGAGACTTGTAAATATAATTGCAAAAGTTTAACCTGGGGGATTTTTAGCTGTTTACCCAGTTTTATTCATTCAACAAGCTTATTATATGGCTTAGGTAAGAACTATCCACACTGAATAGTGAGTGTCAGAAAGAAAGCAAGACAGTTCCTTGGAATTTACATTCTGGTAAATGCAGGCTGGTGGATTGCACTCGATTATTGTATAGTCCATGACATGGACACAGGGAAAAGTTAGTGTGGGATGATGGGAGCAGAAAACTAGCCAGAGCTATTCAAAGAAGGTTGGTTCTATTGAAAGATGAGTAGGTAGTTTTCAGTTACATGGGCAAAGGTGAGAATTTGGGTGCAAAGCATCTCCCAGCTCACAAGCAGTTTGTGACTACAGATGTGAGACCCGTAACTGGACCCTGAGCATAATTTACCCAAGCCATAGCAAGGTACAGGGTCCAACAAGGGCAAAAGGCAGGCAGGAGCCGGATCAGTGTCTCTGCTAGCCTTGTACTTCATTTAAGAAGCAATAGAGAGTGGACTACAAACAACCGTCTGGGTGACCTGTGAAGGCAGGAGAGAGCCCTTGGATCCAAAAAGTGTAAATACTTGGAATTTCTGTAATAACAGTAAGTATGAAAGACTGTACTGTAGGGGCCAGAGCTTCATGACCTGCTGGCTGTGAGTATGCCAGAGAGAAGTTGGGGCTGGCAGATTCTGACTTCCAGACCAGGCTGTAGAGCAGGAACACTGGTCATTTGTAGGACCTATGTGTGTGTTTATATAGTCTTTAACCTTGACCATTACAATGAATGGGGATGCCTGGATCAGTTATCCTTGTTTTGTTTTGTTTTCAGGCGGTATGAATATCATCCAGTCTGTGCAGATCTGCAGACCAAAATCCTCCAGTGTTACCGCCAGAACACCCAGCAGACCCTCAGCTGCTCCGCTCTGGCCAGCCAGTACATGCACTGTGTCAACCATGCCAAACAGGTGGGTGTGCGTGCTCCCTGGACACCTGAAAAGTAGAAAGCCACTGGCGAGGACCTAACATATGGGAAAGCTTTCTAAACTCAGCTAGTTCTCATCAAAATTTCTGTAATCAGTTAGTTAGCTTATAAGTTCTATCCAGTTCACTGCCAGAAGAGGCCAGATTCCATAGGCCTATAGTTCAGGCATGTGATCCTAGCTGCTGGAGGCTGGGCAGGAGAACCTCATGTTCAAGGACAGCCTGAACAACTTCATGAGATTCTCTCTCAAAGTAAAAAGTAAAAAAGTGGAGCTGCCCGGGCCTGGAGAGATGGCTCAGAGGCTAAGAGCATTGCCTGCTCTTCCAAAGGTCCTGAGTTCAATTCCCAGCAACCACATGGTGGCTCACAACCATCTGTAATGGGGTCTGGTGCCCTCATATGGCCTGCAGGCATACTCACAAACAGAATATTATATACATAATAAATAAATAAATATATATATAAAAATAAATAAATAGTGGAGCTGTAACTCAGTGGCAGAGTGCCTGCCTGACATGGATTCGAGTCCCTGTGCCAGAACTCTCCCTATGTTTATTCATGTGCCGGGAGAAAAATACATTAAAAATATACTTCATTGCTCTGAAGTTTTCATCTTATAATGATTCCAATGATTATGTCCTCATTATTAATACCTTACTTTATTAAGACACTTTTCAAAGCCAGCATGGACGAAGGCTGTAAATGAAGAAGCCAGCAAATTGAGATCCATAAGTAGGAGGAGATCTAGCAGAAATCAAAGAAATCCATCCTTCAGTCGCTAATCATTCCCCTACCAGTTGGTCGAGCCCATTAGACCTGTGTTAGTTAGGGTTTCTATTGCTATGAAGAGACACCATGACCGTGGGAACGTTACAAAAGAAACCATTGAACTGGCACTCTCTTAGAGTTTCAGAGGTTTAGTTCATTGTCATCATAGTAGGCTGACATGGTGTTGGAGAAGGAGCCGAGAGTTCTACATCTGGATCTGTAGGCGGCAGGAGTCTGTGACATTGGGTATAGCTTGAACATGTGAGACCTCAAAGCCCACTCCACAGTGACACACTTCCTCCAACAAGGCAACGCTTACTCCAGCTAAGCCACACCTCCTAATAGTGCCACTCCCTCTGAAGGCCGTTTTCTCTCCAGCCACCACAAGCTGGGAGGGACATGCACATGCACACACACACAGCTGAGTCATTTAGAAAAGAACTTCTCTCCTTTCATATGCTTCATGACCCTTCATAATTGCATAATATGACACTCACAGGATGCATATTTTCTCTTAATGTATGTGCTTTAGAAGTTAATCATATCCCTTTTTAGCAGATTAACAATTTCAACAGCTCACATAATTGCTTTACAGTTGGGTGTGTGTGATTTGGAGAGACACAAATTGTTGAACTTCTGTTCTTTCTTTTGACAAACTCCCTAGAATTGTCCTTCTCACCCATCTAGATCTAGTATTTGACTTACACAGCATGCCTTCCTATAGCCCTATTTGCTCCAGTTATAATAATACCACTTAGTGTAAATTTCCAGCAGTCCATAAATATCTGAAGGGAGGGTCGCTATTGCCTGGTAGCTGGGAAATAACAGTAACATTAAGTGGGGGAAATGTGATCAAGATTTAAAAACCCATGTTGTCTTAAAAAGTTTCATTGTTTGCTTTTGTCTGTCATTTGCTGACAGCGGTGCTTGCATGACTGAGTCTATGTCGGGATTCTTTCCAACCTTACTAGATTCTTTAACAACCTTACTAGAGGTAGTGCTGCTGATGTTAGTGCGTGCTGCTTGTCACAGCCACTGATGAGCTCTTAACAAGCCCCCGACCTTCAATAGCACTACTAGCTGAGCACTTGGGACTTGTAGGTGACCTGATAATAGAACCTTGTGGAGGTGGGACTGAGTGGTCATAGGAAAAGTGGCTGTGTCAGGGGGCATGTTTCAAGAGTGGTGTCTGACATGGAATTTCCACAGTGTGATTTCTGGTATTGCTGAAGTGGCAACACTGAGTGCCTTGGAGCATTGGCTCTACCCTTGCCTGGCGAGAGCTTGTTGAAAAATACTTAGTCCTGTGGTGTCGATGGGTCCTATTTATGGAATTTAAAAAAAGTTAACACACAAGATAACATGCCACACAGCACAGTAGAGGGGGAGAGTCTGGTGGGTCTGGGCCTCTCTTACTAGGTCTCTCTCATCCGTGAACTGGGTGTTTTTTGTGGTGGTTTCACTTATACAGAGTACTCAGTGAAGGCGTAAGTCACAAACAATGCCACACCAATTTGGGATTATGATTAATAGGGTGATATTTATTTAAAGGGGAAAAAACTTACAGATCACTGTCCCAGGCAACAGCCCTCTACGCAACCAGGAAAGGAGTCTAGTCGCAGGTGGAGCAGGAAGTGAAGAGAGAGAGAGAGGAGGGAAGTGGCCGCTTTTTTAAAGGGAGAGAGACCACGCCCCAATGGGCTGGTATCTCAGCAGTGATAGGCTGGAGGAGTGGGAGGACCTCCCGCAACAACTCAGTACATCTTTGTTCTCCCCAGTTTCAGGATCATCATTTAGGGAAATCATGGCATATATTAGTATTTGGAAAAGCCTGCCATGTGGTTTATTACTTGCAGCTAGCCTGTTCAGAGTATCTAATATTTCACAGCTCTATGTCCAGTTATTTGGAAGTGGATGGTAACTGAGTAGTATCAGAAAGATGCAAGTCTTGCCACAGGTTGGACAGCACTGAAGTAGCTAAGAACCATGAAACATGGGCCCCTTCATTTCTTCAAGCTTTAGGATTTCAAGGCTACTTCAGCATCCACTCTTACATGTTTTTGATGACACCCTGTAAGTAGTAAAATTGGTTCTTTCTCCATTTTGCAGTTGAGAGCATTGAAACCCAGGTACATCATGATGATAAATTTAACAACTAGTTCAAGATGCACCCTGCCATGAAAATGAAACAAAACAAAAATTTTTAAGAGAAACTAAGTGGTGTTTGTTTTTAGAGCAGGTGAGTGTAATAAGAGACATCCATCACCCACAAATACAGGTTGAGGGAGTGAGGGGAAATGAGAACAGTAATGACAAAATGAGAGAAAGGAATGGTGACAGGCTCCTGAAGTGGTAATAGAGTCCATAGGTCACACATAGGACATGAGATGATAGTGCCCATGATCAAAGGGGCCACTTGGCCTGCCCTCTGAAAAGCCACACCACGTAAACTGCAGGGACCTGGTACAAAACTGTGCTTCTGCTCCCTGTGAAAATGATCTAACCTTGAGAACCCAATTCTGCCTCCCTTATTAGAAGGAAGTTTGTCGGTCCTCACTGCCTAGTGTAGCAGTTCCAGGTAGGCCAGCTCCCTTCTCCTAGCCTTCCAGTGAAGTCCAGAGAATGCACTGGGCATGAGCAGGACAGCAACCATTAAGTCTTACCCCATTTCCGACACTGTACGAGGGTTTCCCCTGTGGAATCATTACAGTAGTCCACTCCACTTTTACATGACTCATAGGTTGGGCTTTCACAGGTCCCTGGGGTACTGTTTGGAAGACTAATAGATTTTACTGGTAGCAAAATTTCCGGATGTTTCTTAGCCTTACTTTTCCTTTCTTCTTATTTATCTATGCATGGACATTAATCTTCAGCTATTCTTAAACAGTTCCTTGTGGTTTGATGTGAGACATTTCAACTTATTGTTAGTGTATTAAGTTATGTATTCTTCATGATACTAAATTGCTCTAATATCGTTTCTAAGTTGTAAAAGCCTTTGGCTAGCTATTTAAGGACAGTATTTACAAATGGAGCATCAATTGACATCAACTTGTGTCTGGCCCATACCTGCTTAACCTACTAACTTTCTAAGCTTCCCAATATTGAATTACCTCTTGCCATTAAAGCCTGGTTCCCATTCAGTCTTGCTACAGCTGACATATATGGGACTTTGTAAACAGGGAAGAGAATAAGAATCCAGGAGTAGATAAGTAGATAATATAAAATGTCCCCAGCATCTTTTTTTTTTTTTTTTTAAGACAGAGTCCTCTGTGTGTGTACCCTAGCTGACCCCAAGTTCACCATGTGGACCAGACTGGCTTCAGATTCCCAGAGATCTATCTGCCATCTGCATGCCATGTGCTGGGATTAAAGGGGTACAGTACCATGCCTGGCCGTCCAGCTTCTATTTGGGTGATGGGGTTGGTTGTTTGAGACAGGATTTCTCTGTATGAAAGTCCTGATTTTGTGAGCTCACTTTGTAGACCAGGCTGGCCTTGAACTCACAGAGATCTGCCTGTCTCTGCCTCTGTCTCTGCTGGATTAAAGATGTGAGCTACCAACCACTTCCTGACTTTAACTTCTAATTTTTAAAGTGAAGGAGGTCTGGATTATAGATCAGCATTGTCTCTGTTCCTTGTGACATCTCGGTACTTTAACACTTACCTACAGGGTTGTAGGCAAGAATTCTAAGCATTTTTATAAGGTGAAGAAACTAACAGTATTCTCATGGAACAGTCTGTGTTCACCTGACGTAGGGTTATTGGGTGATGCTTTGCCACCATCCCAGATTATTCATGGTGACCAGAACTTCAGTTTTTTGTTTTTGTTTTTGTTTTTTTTTTTTTGCTGAGCTGAGAGCTTGAAGCTCTACCTGCGAGGACTAATCTGCATTCATTGTGGAGAGCAAGAGGTAGGTATAGGCTCAAGTCTGATTAGTAATAGCACCTTTTCATTTTGTGGTTTCTGGGTTTTCTGGGCTTTAGTGCTTTTGCCTCCTGGAGTTTGCTCTCAGCTGCCCTAGCGGATAATCTGCTATGGTGTCAGCTACACACCCTCTCCTCAAGGTCACATTCCTGACAAGGTGACCAGAGAGGCTAGAAACAGTTCAGTTTCTCCTGAGCCAGGGAAAAACAGTTCTCCCCAAGCTGCCTGCCAAAACATAGCCTGACAGCTAATAAACTCCATTACAAAATGCAGGTGCCTTAGCCCCGGGCT